AGCCTAAGATAAGACTCGTCTTTAACCAAAGCTGGTCTGGACAGCGTCAGGCTCAACCTGATCAAAGGCGTCTGTGACACATGTCGGGAGTGCAGGGATCGGGATAAACCAGGGCATGCCGCGATGCCCTAAACTGCGCTACAGGCAATGTTCACAACATTGATCGGCGTACCCGATATGATATTGGAATGAAAAAAAAACCAGATCAAACAATGACCAGTATCGTAGATGCGTATCATCAGTGCTGGATGCAGTTCGGACTTGCTCAGGTACTCTACTATGATGGGGAGGGTGTCCTCAATAACGACACTGCAAAGGCGGTCCCCAAGGCAAACGGCACTGACCTGAAGATACGGCTCCCGGATGTGGTCGCTCCTGTGTGCAATATGCCACGGGTTGGATTGTGAACCTTCGTTTTCCTTCCCCTGTCCCTCTTCTCCTCCTTCCTCCTTAGCCCGTCCTGTATGTTCCCGCGCTCCTGACATTGAGGTTTCTCTCAAAGGCTTGCGCTTTCTCCCACGCGGGGCGGTCCCTGGGCATGCTCGCCCCCCGCGCGATTTTTCGCCAATGGGTGGCGGACTGAGGAGGAACCTTGGTTCGCCCACGTTCCTGGCATTTGGACTTCCCCAAAAAAGGCCATGTTGTTCTCCAACATGAGGCGACTCCCGGATATGCTCGTTCCGGCGCGCAAATCTGCCAAAGGGGTTCGTTCGTTTCTACGGGGGAACTCGGGCCTGTCACTCTCTTCTCCTCTTCACTCCTTTGTTTATTCGCGCACATCGGCTAAGTGACCTTTTTTGTCCGTTGGCGCGTTGCCCTGGTCTGTTCGTTCAGTTTTGAAAAGGGTGGGTTTGTTTGTAGGAGGAGCCTTGCTTGTATAATGTATTTCCTTTTGTGCCCTCGCTCTTGGCAGCGGGGGTCATCCCAAAGGGCTGGGCCCTGGGGGCGCTCGCCCCCTGCATGCCACATGTGGGTTGTTTCTTGGAGTAACTTTGCGTTTCCCTCCCCTTTCTCAGGGGTGGACCGAACCCCCAACAAAGACACGTCGATTAGTGAATTGTCCGTTTTCGGTTCTCGAGAGGGCGCCGTGGCCGTCATTTTCCAGGCTTGCGCCCGCCAGGTTTGGGCCTCAGGTCGTTGTCACTAAACAACGTTTGACTAAAGGGAGGTCTGTCCATCCAGGCTACATCCCCAGGGCGAAAGTTTTTTCCTCTTGTGCCCGGAACGACGGTGTGAAGTCTTGAGCAGACCCGTATGAGATAACCGCCGTCGGATTTCATGAAGCTCGCGTGGATCCAAATGTGGTTTTGGTGTTTGTTTCGGTGGATCCGATTTCCGTCCGTACGGATCCGATTTCGGATTAGCTGGATCCGTGTCCGGTCTTATTTTTTACGGCGGATCCGATTTCCACTCTGTTTTAAATTTATATTATTAAATTAAATCAGGGAACCGAAAGAAATCGGATCCGCGGACCCCGTAAACCGCCCGTGTTAAGATTCTATGGGGGAGGGGGGTTCGGTAATCAATTTTCCACGGTGGGCCCTGCGTCGTCTCGCGCACTCCCATCAACTCCCCGCGCGAGCGGGCCCCATTCAACATGAATATATACACACATCCCCCCCAATTGCTGCAAACAGCGGGTTCGGTAATCAATTTTCCACGGTGGGCCCTGCGTCGTCTCGCGCACTCCCATCAACTCCCCGCGCGAGCGGGCCCCATTCAACATGAATATATACATACATCCCCCCCAATTGCTGCAAACAGCTCGTCCGGTCGCCGTCCGTTCGGCAGCGCCGACGTTGTCTCGCGAACTCCTCATGGCCATTTGCACTTCAAGAGGAAAATTGTTCGTCCTGCGTAAGTAACTGACATTGTTTTGTTTGCCCATCCAGGCAAACTGACATTGTTTTGTTTGCGTTTGTGGCGTTTGTTTGTTCGTGTTGTTTCGCATAGGGCTGGCTTGTTTCTAGGAGGAGCCCTGGATCCGTGATGATTTACCGTATGTTCTTCTTTTCCTGGCCTTAGGGTTTCTCCTTAAGGCTTGCGCTTTGTCCCACATGGGGCGGGTCCTCTGTATGCTCGCCCCCCTGCATGGTGATGATAGTGGTGGTGGTGATAATGACGAAGGGTCTGGTGAAGGTGATTGTGACTGTCATGGTGATGATGATGTTAAGGATGGTGGTGGTGATGAGGATACAGATAATGATGGTGATGGTGGTGACGACGAGGATGATGACGATGACGATGCCGATGGTAATGATATTGTAGTGGCCTTCGGCCAGTGCCGCCGATCCGGGTCGCTCGGATACACATATTACGCGGACACCTCGCGCACGCACACGACCAAATGCACATACGGCAGACACACATACAGAGACACACTAGGCGCACGCCAGACACTAGCACGCACAGACATTCGCCGACACGCACCACACACAGACACTCGCACAGGAGCCTGTCAGGGCGTCGAGGGGGCTTCTTGGGGGCTTTTGGGGGCCCTCTTTGGGGCTCTTGGGGCCTCCTGGGGGCCTCGTGGGCTGGAAGGCTAGATTTGTTCCGCTTTTCGTCCCTCTTTTGGGTCCTCTTGGGGCCGTCTTGGGGGCCTCTTGGGCCGTCTTGGGTAGCTTTTGGGCCGCCTTGGGGCCCTCTTGGGCCGTCTTGGGACTGTCTGGCCTCCTGGGCCGTCTTCGAGCGGTCTTGGGGGCCTCTTGGGCCGTCTTGGAGCGTCGGAAAGCAGAAAAAAGCGACAACCCCAAAAACATGAAAAGAACCAATGGAAATCAACGATTTGTGCCTCTGGGGGCCCTCGTGGGAGGCCTCTTGGAGGCCTCTTCAGACGTCTTGGAAGGCTCTTGGGCCGTCTGGGGGCCATCGTGGGCGTGTTCGGGCGATCTTTCGGGGTCTCGGGACTTTCTTAGACCGTCCTAAGAGACTTTTGCGGCCGCGGCCACCCTTTTAGCGCATCCTCGAGATTAGAGCCTTCTGTAAAAGCAGCCCCCCCGCATCCGCCGGAAACTCGCACCCCCTCCCCCCCCCCCATTCCCCCTTCCCCGGCAGAGCCACCCCGGCAACCCCCCCAGAGGCTGAGGCTCAGCCTCGAGGCTGTAGCTGAGACTCCTGGAAACTCACACGCCGGATCGGCGGATGATGACGATGACGATGCCGATGGTAATGATATTTTTGGTGATAGTGACTGTATATGGTGGTTGTGATGGCAATGCATTTTTACGATGGTGGTGACGAGCTGTCTCTCTTCTAGTTCCTTGACCTCTCGGCCGTCTCTTGCGTCCGCCACCAACATAATCGTTTTGTGGGAAAGGAACTCTGTGTGGCCCTCTTGTCTCGCAGCGTGCGCATCCGCATCGTCATCATCGTCATCATATGCATCTTAAGCAGCATCACCATCATCACCATGATCATCGTCATGGTCATCAGCATTATCATCATCCTTCTCATCATCGTCGTCGGCATCATAATCCGCATTCTCAGCATCAGCATCATCATCGTCTGCATCGTCTGCTTTCCGCTGTTCTTCCGCATCACCCTCCTACCACCTACTGCCATATGATTTCTCCCACTCCGATCTCATCGTATTCTTATTCTTGATCTTCGGGTTCGCTCTCATCCAATGACCCCCCCGAACCGCTTTTCCCGATTCTTGTTGGAAGAAGAGGGGGAGGAGGTGCGGAGGCCATTGTTTCTCATTGCAGTCCCATTGTAAGCCCAATCATCATAGTCATTGTTACTGTGCCTGTCATACGCATCTACGTTGAAGCTTTCTTCTGCGGCCGCGCTTCGCACCCGCGGGACGCGTCTTCGGCCATAGGCGCGCCCGCTGGACACCGGACACCGACGGCCTCCGGACTCCGGCCACCACGGACACCGAACACTGCAGACACCGAACATTGGACACCGGACACTGGCCACCGGCCACCGGACACCGGACACCGGGCACTGGTGCACTGGCCGCCGGCCACCGGGCACCCCAGATATCCGACGTCTCGATTTTTTAGAGATGCGGGCCTCCGACCTCCCGACCACTTCCCTGGGACCGGTTTTTCATCCCGAGTCGTTTTTACACGGTCCCGAGGCCCGGCGAGGGCCCCGAGAGGCCAAAAACTATGAAAAATGTCTGTCTCGATTTTTTCGAGACGCCCGATGTCTGGGACCGGACATCGGACGGGCTCCGGACACTGGACACCAGACACCGGACACGGGACGTCGGACACCGAACGCCGGACACTGGACACGGGACACCAGACAGCAGCAAGAATCGTCCATGCTTTCTCGGTGTGGGGTCTCTTGTGGAAGGTTTCTCGTGGATTGGCCTCCGCTGTGGCCTCTTCGCCAGAGGGACCTCTCCGGTGCGGGCCCGCCGGCGTCCCCCCCAGCATCGGTTTGCGCGCTTGTATCTGCCCCGCCCCCCCACGGCGGCCCGGCGGGGAAGGTGATGGACCTGTGTTCCACTACCACCACCATATGCTGGAGGGGGGAAAGAGGTGGAGGATGAGGAGGAGGACGAAGAAGAGGAGGAGGAGGACTCTCTCCCCCTCCTACCTTTGGTGGTGGCGGTGGAACAGCGAAGCCCACCAGAATGGATCCACGGAACGCCCGGGGGCAGGGTCGGGAGATTTTGCGAGGCGCGCATTATCAAACAGTCTCCTGGAAACCGTGTGAGCACGAACGATTCCTTCAGTTGCCAGTCGCGGCGAGAATGGTTGCCGTGAAAGTGGAGGAGAGGGAGGAGGAGTAGGAGGAGGAGGAGGAGGAGACTGATGAGCAGGAGATGGAGATGGAGGTGCTTGGTTGCGGTTGCGGCCGCAGTAGCAACAGTGGAAGAGTAGCAGCAGCAGCAGCAGCAGCAGCAGCAGCAGCAGCAGCAGCAGCAGTATCAGCAGCAGCAGCAGCAGTAGCATTTGCAACGGCAACATCAACAACGGAAACGCCATTGAAAACGAGCCGAAGGGGCAGCACGTCAGTCATGCCTCCAGCGCGCCCAGGTGGAGCTGGATCCACGCTACAAGCTTCCGAAGGTGAAGTACAAAGGTGGCGCTGTGCAGGTATGCTTCCAAATACTCCCTTTCCTTTTCGATCCCCCACCTTCTGAAATGTGCCGCGTAACTAGAAGGGTGTGGCAGTTCCCAGATCCCCCCAGGAACCCCCCTCAAGCTGTTCTTGCTGTGTTTCTTTCGAGGGGTCCCCGGAATCCCTTCAGGAACCACCCCACCCCCTCCACTTGATTCTTTTAGAGGGGAGTTTTGGGTGGCGTTCTCACAGGCCCCCGAGGAAACCATCCGAAACCCCTCAAGGATTTCTGGCAGAGGGGTGGAGGGGTGGGAACTTTCCCGGACCCCCCCGGAGGGCGTTTTTTGTTGGGGGGGGAGGCTCTCCTGGGCCCCCAAAAGGAAATCAGCAGAAACCCTCCCTTAAGGGGGGTGCGTGCTGGGTTGTGTTGAGAGTTCTCCTGGGCCCGGCCCTCGAGAAAACCCTTCGCCCGCCCCCTCCTTCGACTAGACGGAAGAGTGACCTTTCGCTGGAGTGACTTCTGGTGCGGGCCCAATGGTGTCCTCCGAGCGCCGAATGCGATGCTATAGTAGTGTCTTTCGCGCTCGTGTTTGGTCCCCCCCGCGGACCCCAAAAAGCCGCGCACCAAAGGTCACTCTTACCTAGGGTCACTCTTGCGTGTAGTCCACTCCTCAAGGGGGGTTATGTGTGTGTGTGTGTGTTTTGGGAAGGGTTCCCTGGGCCCTCCTAGGAACTCCCCCGAAACTACCACCACCCCTCTACGTTTCTTGTTTCTTGTTTGTGGAGTTCTGGGCGGGTTCTCCCATGGTCCCCCAGGACATCCGCCCCCCCCCCCTCCAGGTTTTTGTTGGTTTCTTTTTGGAGTTGTTTCAAAGTCCTCCCTGGAACCCTTACAAAACCCGCCTTGAGGTGTTTGTTTTGTTTTGGGGAGCGATGGTTTTCCTGGGCTCTCTCCCTCTGAGCTGTTTTTGCTTCCGAAGCAAATAGCCTGGTGAAGGACTCATGCAATATGCAGTTGTGAATACCGCGTTGTGGTTACCGCTTTCGGTGGAGCTCCCTATGGGGCCACGAAGCGCGCGAGAGGTGTGCGGAAGTGGTGGAGATGGTGGGGAGCCCATGCGATCTGTGCCAGCGGGGCCTCAGGTGAAGCTCCGAAATCGGGCCACGAAACGTGTGATGGGGTACGCCGACATGGTCCCGGGATCCGCATGCGAACGTCGGCAATGGAGCCTCTGGTGCTCGCGGCCAAGGCCACTGCAGCCTTCGGTGGAGCTCCCCGTGGGGCCACGAAGCGCTGCACGGGGTGGCGAGGCATCACGCGGCCGCGGCCTCCGGGGGCGCCGGGAAACGCTGCGCTGGACGGGGGGGGCGCGTGCGGCCGCGGCCACGGGGGCGCTCGGTGGAGCTCCCCACCGGGCCACGAAGCGCTGCATTTTGGGGGATGGGTGGGGGGGGGCGGGGCACGCGTGCGCGCGGCGGGCGTGCCGCAAGGGGAGCGGGGAGACGCGTGCGGACCCCGAGATCCGACGCTCCAACGTTCTCCTCGTTCTCCTCCCCCCTCCCTCGGAGGAGGAGGAGGGAGGAGGAGGACGAGGAGGAGGAGGAGGAGGAGAACGAGGAGGAGGAGGAGGAGGGAGGTCGTGGGCAGTTCTCGGCCTCCCGGGGCCCCCGCGCGGGCCTCGGGAGCTTAAAAACAAATCGTTCGGGACGAGAAGAACGGGTCCCGGGGAAGGGGTCCGGACCTCCTGGGTCCACGCAGCAAAAAAGTTGGAGCAGCCCGATGTCTGGGGACCCTGCCACCTGGAGCCTTCGGAGAAGCTCTCTGTGGGGACACGCGGCGTGTGAGGGGTGTGCCGACATGGTCGTGCGGAGGGAGAGGGGCAAGGATGGGAGGAGGGATGATGGGAGATGGAGGGGGAGGGAGGAGGAGGAGGAGGAGGAGGAGTGAGGGAGGAACGCTGGGCGCCGTCTCTTCAAAACGAGGACCCGACACCACAGGATAATTAGGAAGACGGAGAGGTCTTCGTGGGCTAGCGCCTTCGGAGCCGGGAGGCGCCAGGAAAACCAGCTGCGTGAGCTGACTCGCTAACCCCGTTTGCTACCCCTGCCCTCTCTCGCCCGACCCGACGACAGGAGCAAGGAGTGTCCGCAGAGCCGCAAGGACAACGCATGGATGGGGGCGAGCGTGGCGTGAGTGTCGCAAGGCAGCCCGGGCTGGTCCACTGGAGGGAGGGTTCCGTCAGCCTCGCGCTGGCGGCCCCGCTCCAGCACGCACCGGCCGCGGCAGGGCGTGGAAGCGACGCCTCGGCACCCACTCGTGGAACGCTCGGACCGCGCTCGGTACGGGGCGAGGAGGAGGAGGCAGGAACAAGAAGGATGAGGCGGAGGCAGAAGGAAGAAGGGTGGAGGGAGGTGAGGGGAGGAGGAGGAAGAGAGGATTTTTGACATCAACCGTGCCCAGCAGACGACGGATCCGCCGTCGTCACCTGCTCCCTGGCCTGGATAAAGGCAGGCCGGGAAGCAGTGTGAAAAAAGGCAATGGGAGGGCGGGCGAGACAGCCACGGGGCGGTTTCCCGCACCGGGGAGGATCCCCTGTGGCTAACCGCCCGCCCCCCAAAGGCCAAGACCAATGAAAGGAAGTCGAGGCCGAGACGCCCCTCGGGCAGGAAAGTCCGAGGGGCATCTCTAAGGCCGATGCGTCGGGCTGCAACAGTTGAGGCAACGCGTGGGGGTTCCTCCCTCTTCGAGGGTAGGGGTGCGCCCGACGCGCGCCAACAACCATCCTGGGCGGCATTGCGCCCGCGGAGGCTGCCCCCACCGCTCTGAGCGGGAGGGGAGTAAACGGGGCAAGGCATCGGTCGAGGCGGGGACGCCTCCGTGCCGGGCCCGAGTCAAGACGAAACACTCGTGCTGCGCACCTTCCCCCGCAACTGGGGTGCCTGACACACGTGCAAACGACGCAAACGCACACGCACAAAACAAATGAGGCGACGCCAGGACGACGCGGCTGACCAACCCCTGGTGTACTGAAGCGCCAGGACGGTGGCCAGCTTCACCCCTGGTGTGGGCCTGACTCAAACCGCCGAGCCAGTGCCCCCGTGATGGGCCCTCCAGATGCGGCCCAATGGCCAACTTGGCAGAGCGATCAAGGACCCACCGTCTCCCGCTCCAACGCAGGAAGCAAAAGCTTCAAACGCCAGAGTCTGATAAAACGAAAGATTAGGCAGGGCAACGGTCGGGGCGGAGCTCCACCCCCGTGCCAAGCCCAAGGAACAGTTCGAGAACATAACACCCGTGCTGCGCACCTTACCCCACAACTGGGGTGCCTGACACACGGGCAGACGCGCACACGCACACGCACGAAACTCAAGGCGACGCCAGGACGACTCGGCTCCACTACCCCTGGTGTAACGAACTCCAGGACGGTAGCAAGCTCCGTCCCTGGTGTGGGCCTGACTCAACCGTCGAACCAGGACCCCCGTGACGGGCCCTCCAGATACGGCCCTGTGGCCAACTGGGCGGAGCGATCAAAGGACCCACCGTCTCCCGCTCCAACGCAGGGGGTACAGGCTTCAAACAGCTGAGTCTGCCAGAAGAAGCTTCTTCCTCCACTTCCAGCGGGTCAGAAGCCACTGTTGCGTGCACAGGAGCAGGCTCGGTACTCGACGACGACGGACAGATGACGACCCGATCTCCCTGCTTCTGTGCAGCGGCCTGTGCCAACGGGGGCTCAACCTCCATTGAGACGGCTGGTGGTGGGCTTGGCGTTCCCCCAGCGGCGACAATAAGCTTACGCACAAGACTGGCAGTGCGTACCTCCTTTTCAAGGTCGGTGAGGCGCCGCGGCAGCTCCTCTGAGTCCTGGTCGCAATACCAGGGCCCGACCTCGACAGAAACGCCTCGCCGCTTGGGGTGCTTACCAGTGCCCACAGAAATCCAGGCCGACTTGGCCCCAGCACTCTGGGGACAGTCATCAGACTTCTTAAGTAAATTGCGAGGCAGCCCATGGGAAGAATAGGCATAGCATCGCATACAGATGGTAAGCACAGCCCCATCCGAACAAAGCAAGGCAGTACAATTGTGCTGGAGAGCACGAAGGGTCGCCGCCTCAAGCTTGGAATCTCTCAGACACTTGCCAGGGGGCGGTGGGTCAAGGCCTCCGAGCTTGCCTTCGCCAGGAGGACTAAAGCGCGGCACTCCTTTGGCTACTTTGAGACACTCGGAGCACTGCCAAAAATCGGAAACCCGAACCCATCGATGAGGCTGGGGATCCACCTTGGGTTTCGGGGGCTTAGGGACCAAAGGGATGCCTTTTAGGTCGAGCCTGGGCCACAATGGCATCAGCTCAGCGGAAAGGCGCATAACACACTTCGCGATAGACAGGCACCGATCAAGCCATACTACATCGCACGGGTCGGGTTGCGGGTGTTCGACGAGTGAATGTTTGGCAATGTTGTCAGCTAGGTCGTTGCCCAGCTTCCAGAATCGTTCCAACTCTGGAAGGTCATTAGATTCTTCCACATGGGCCTTGACCTTGAAAACTCCCTCGCCCAACTTCAGGTGGGTGGGGAGCAGAACACCAGAGTACACACGCTTATAAGACAGGGCCCGCATCAGAGGTTCGTTCGCTTGAACCACTACGTTGTTGCAATCAGAGTAGATGGAGCTCCCAGGCAGGGCGTGCATCGCAGCAACAGCGTAGGCCCCAAACTCCCCTCCTTGGGCAGTTTGGAGGTTAGGGGCCCACAAGGGACAACTGATGCGGCAAACCTCGTCGCCGTCATCCCCTACAACTACGATTCCCCACCCAGCCCTGGAGAGTTCTTTGACGGTATGAATAGCGCACGACCCATCGACGCAATTGTGTCCAGAGATATCGAGGGACCTGCAGGAGCGGTCGTGGGCCCATATAACCTCGAGACTTGTATCCTCAACGTCATCCCGAGCGGGAACAGGAAACACATCTCCAGGATGCCGAATAAGACCTCTGGTGAACAACAGGAAATCCTCCTCATCCTTGCCAGGGGTCAGGTCGGGCGGGGGCATGAGGGTAAACCTCTCCTTGAAACTATCAAACACTTCCTGCCTCTTGTCATGGCACGCGGAGCAGAACCAGAGCCGATGAAGCATGGTATCGGTCACAACACCGCAGAGGTCGCACGTCGTGTCAACCCCGTATCTTGCTTCGGCATCTCTCATCCTAGTCCAAGTGGCATTACAAGCGACAGCGTTGGCACACCCTCGCTGCAGGGGTGTGTCCTTCTTGGAGCGCAGAGCGGCTGCCACAACATCGTGACAAACTCGAGCACCAGGTGAGTGAGGAAGCAAGGCGGCGCCGCTGGCTCGCTCGTGGGTCCTCTGCACCGCGGCCTTCAGAAGCTTCTTCAGAAGGGCGGGGGAGGTGACGGTGAGGGAAACTTCCGTCCCGAAATCATCCAGGAGGGTGCAGTAGTTAGGCATGCTCCAGGAAATCCGCATCAGCGGTGCTTCGATAAGCCCTCCTTCCAAGCTCCCTCTTCACAGGCAGCTAGTTACAACACCGTATGTTCATTGCGAGGCAAGCATCTGATAAGCGAACATCATACCAGAGCCCAATCGCTGTGACCTCAACGCCGCAGAACAACATGATTGCTGCGTCCTGACAATGCTGGATCGTGCCAAAACGGCACCCCTGGGGTTTCAACACCGCGAATCAACGTGACTGTTGCGTCCTTGCAACCTATTGTGCCAGAGCGCTGTTCCTGGGACTTTCCTTGAAACGCTACAATGTGTCAGGAGAGTGTGCGCGGCGCTGAGTCGAGAGCCACAGTTTGAAATGGTGCCGCCCTCCATCCTTGAAGCTGCTGTATTTTTGGCAGACGAATGCGCGGCGCTAATGCGAGAGCCACATGAACATGAACCGCTCTACATCCTCGAAATTGCTGCAAATGTTCAGACGCATTGCGCGACTCTAACGCGACAGCCTTTTGAAAACGACTTGCCTTCCATCCTTGAAGTGGTGAGGACGTCTCAGGCGAAACGCCCGGCCAGCCCTACCGATGACTTTGGGAGTTGCGACAGGGATGAGTTATTCATATAATTTCTAAGGGAGCGGGATGCAGGAGGAGGAGGAGGAGGAGGAGGAGGAGGGAGAGGAGGGATCAAGTGCAGGTAGAGGGAAAGGAACATATCTCATGAGGAGGGAGGAAGCAGAGGAGGAGGAGGAGGAGGAGGAGGAGGAGGGAGGAGGAATAGGACGGCTAAAAGGAGAGAAAAGAGAAGTAGGGGGGAGGGAGGGAGGGAGGAAAGGAAGAGGAGGGAAAGAGGAGGGGCCGAAGGAAGGGATAGGGAGGAGGAGGAGGAGGAGGAGGAGGAGGAGGAGGAGGAGGAGGAGGAGGGAGGGGCTGAGGAGAAGGGAGGCAGAGAGGGAGGCAGAGGGGGAGGAGGAGGAGGAGGAGCAGAAGGAGAAGGAGAAGGACGACGACGACGACGACAACGACCTCTTGGTAGCTCCCGCGAGCCGGGACGGACGCGCCGCCCTGGCGGCGCACCTGCGCCCCGAGCCCGCAGGTCCAGCGGTTGCGGAAACAGCACCAGTCCAAGATCCAGGAGCTGCCGGGTGCCGTCGAGCTGCGGCCGCGTGGGAATTCGATCGAAGGCCTAGAGGTTGACACCAACACCAATATCGGTGGTGTGCTTCCATCGAGGGAAGATGATCCCGATCTCAGCGATGATGGTCATATTCGAGCTTCCGGTGGCTGGAAGATTGCCACCAACACCAAAATCCAGGATCATCTTCCTCCCGTGGAGGCAACACCTGGTGTTGGTGTTGGTGCCTATTTCAAGCTTCCAATTCCTCGACGTCGACGACGACGACGACGACGGCGGTGGCGGTGGCGGCGGCGGCGGCGGCTGCGGGTTCGATCGACGCTGGGGTATCGGACCCTCCCGCTGAGGCTCACCTGGCTGCAGGCATCCTTCGGATTCTGAAGCCAGCTGGCGTGCCAGGAGGCCGACCTGCAGAGGTGCGGCTCGCGCGCGCTTGCCTGCAGTCGGAGGCGCTCCAGTGAGGACCGCTCTGGGTTTCAGGAGGGGCTCTGCTTGTCGGGCCGCTCTTCAGGCTCAGGCCGGGGGGCCCGATCCGCGGCCGAGGTCCGGCGTGGCCAGGAAAGCCCCTCCGTTCCTTCTGTGGTGATCCTCTTGGTTGTATCGGGGGTGGACAGAACCCCCAACAGTCACACGTCGATTAGTGAATAGTCCGCTTTCGGTTCTCAAGAGGGCGCCGTGGCCGTCATTTTCCAGGCTTGCGCCCGCCAGGTTTGGGCCTCAGGTCGTTTTCACTAAACCACGTTTTACTAAAGGGGGGTCTGTCCATCCCCGATTGTACAGCGGGGACCAGTCCCCGAGAAGCCTTCCAAAAGAAACCCAGCCCTCAGACCCCAGGACATCTGCGACTCTCCTCGAAACCCAAGACGCCCAGGGCGCCCCGGAGGCGAGCAGGGTGCTCCTTGGCATGGGCCCCCGCTGCAGCTTGGCTGTGGCGCCCCGGCCGAGCTCTCCGGCCTTCCTGGCTGCAGTGCACCGGGGGGGGGGGGCCGGCGGCCGATGGTGAACCCCGGGGCGTGCTGCCAGGCGCTGCCGGGGCTCTCTGGCCTGCTGTTCGCGGTGCAGGCTCCTCTTCTGTCGGGGGCGGCCAAGAGGGGGGGTGATGACTTGGTGGGGTGTGGAGATCTTATGGCGTGGGCCACGATATTTATTCTCAGGTTTCAGGGCGCCTCCTCCCATTTCAAGGCGTCCCTGCCTCCCCCCCCTGGGGCCGCGCACCTGCCGCTGGCCATGATTTACGCCCCACCCTCTTGGACGCCCCCCTCTTGGCCGACCCTGTTTTTGCACGATTGAGTCGTTGCTCCCTTGCTTTGCACGATTGAGCCGTTGCTCCCTTGCACATATGTCAACATGAAGTAGCCTGGCTGTTGTTCGGCGGCGAGCGAGGTGGGTAAATGAGAAGGAGAAGGGCCTCTCAGAAGGCGGCGGGACTTCTCAGAAGCCCTCGCTCGAAGTTGTCCGTGCTTTCGGGGAAAGCTTGGGAATGTCTCAGAAGGCCTGGGGACTTCCGAGCCTTCTGAGAAGGTCCGCCCCTTCTCACTTCCCCCCTGGGCTCGCCGCCGAGATCTGGCAGCCTCGAGAGAAGCATGGCTATGATGATGAGATGGGCTCCGTTTCTGTGTCGCTTGTGCTTTCCTCCTGCCCTCACTCATCGGCACTTCTGCTGGGATGCTCTAGGCCTCCCAGATGGGATCGGAGTAGATGGGGTCGGAGGATCGCGCCGCATCGCCGATGCATCGCCGATGCGGCTCGATTTGGAGACACGCCGGCGTCGCCGATACCTCGCCGACGTCGCCGATGCAACGCTGGTGCATCGCCGATACATCGCCGATGCATTGGCGATACATCAGCGATGCGGTGCATTCCTCTGACCCCATCTACTCGAACACCATCTAGGAGGCCTCTGGATGCGCTCTGGCTATGCTGGCAGACGGAACGCGGCCATGACAAGAGCGCCCCTAGAAGCCCCAAGGAAGGCAAGGGTAGGTTCGTGCGGCGTTGGCGCACCGGCGGCGCCGGCGAAGGCGCTCAAGGTTGAATTTTGCAACGCCGAAGCACCGATGGACACGGTGACGCCACTGGACCCGATGGAGTTCAGCCTTGCACGACTCGATTCAAGGCGGAACGATCGGCGCGGTGCCGAAACCTCCGCGCGCGCCGACGCCGCACGAACCTGCCGCACCGAGCCCACCAAACCCCTCGACGCTCGAACCCGCCGCACGAACCCGCCGCACACGACCCGCCGCGCGAACCCACCGATCCACTCAACACCTCCGCGCCGCCGCCGCGGCGAGCGCCTCGGTCTTGCAGGGCCCGCTGCAGGAGGCGCCCCCCCCCCCTGCCTCCGGGGGGGGGGGCGGGGAGGGAGGCGCGGCGCTGCCGGCCCTCCCCCGGAGCCGGCTCCCGAGGCGCACTGCGCCCGGCGCCAGCCCCGGACAAGGGAGCGAGGGGGGAGAGGCCTCGGCCGCGCGCCGAGGGGGACAGGGTCAAAGTCGGGCGTGTCCCTCTACAGGAGGAGCACCCAAGAACAGCCCCCCAAGAGTAGTCTGGGGGCGATTTTGGGGGGTATTCTTTTGTTGTTTTTTTGATTTTGTGACTTTTCGTACAAGATCCGCCTGTAATTAGGGGACATGCCCGACCTGAGGGTAGGGGGGGGAGGGGAAGGCTTCTTATAGAGGCACCCCTGCTTCTTAGGAGGCGCGGGCCTTGTCTGTAGGTGTACGGCCGGTGCCTTCTGAGAGGCAGCCATCTTCTCAGAAGCCTTTCCCCTTGCCTATCCCGACACCCCTGTGCGCGCCGCCAAAGCCTCCTCCTCCTCCTCCTCCTCCTCCTCCTCCTCCTCCTCCTCCTCCTCCTCCTCCTCCTCCTCCTCCTCCTCCTCCTCCTCCTCCTCCTCTCCCTCCCCAGACATGCGGAGTCGGGCTTTTTTTCCGCCCGGGCCTCAGGAGTCTGGGCCCCTTCCCCTTGCAGGGCTGGTGTGTCATCGCAGGTCCTCTTCTGACGGCCCCCCGGGGGCCCCAGCGAGGGCCCCGGGAGGCCGAGAGCAACCAGGAGCCTCACGTCGTGCTGTTCCCGGCGCGAGGATGTCTGGGAAGGGCCCATGGTTCCATTCTCTGGAGAGCATGGATCTCCCTTTGGCCAGATGGGGCTGGCACGATGATACAGTGGTGGAGGCCCATGCCAAGAAACACCCTGCTTGCCCCCAGGGTGCCCTGGGTTTCTTGGGTTTCGATGGTTTTGCCATGGAAAGTGTGACGTTCCCATACCAAGAATCAATGGACCTCCTGGGGTCAGGGTTGGGTTTCTTGTGGAAGGCTTCTCGTGGACGGGCCTCCACTGGGTAAATCCGTTCCAGAGCGTTCCAGAACGCTCTCAGAGCGTTCCGGATTGCTCGAGGAAAGCCGCGGCGCCCGAGACATCCTCAAGAGCCGCCAGATCTCAGAGATCATCGATTTATCAATTTATCTTCCCCCGAATGTGTCCTCGTCCTGGCTGCGTCTTCCCTGGAGAGCGCCACCCCACCCTCTTTCTGCGTCATTTTTCGAGCCGTATCGATCCGTGAGGGTCTCTGAGCGCAAAACCGGGCGAGAACGCCTTCCGTGAAAAAATGGCAACGCCGAGAGCTTTCGGCCACGCACCGAGGGGGCATCTTAGAAGCACGCCTGCTTCTCAGGAGGCGCGGGCCTTGTCTGCAGATGAAGGGCTGGGGCCTTCTAAGAAGCGGCCTCCTTGGTTAGAAGTTTCCTCCCCTCCCCCCTCCCACCTACCCCCCTCTTCTGGGGTTGGTAGAAGGAAGTCCCCTGGCCCAAGGTGCCCCCAGGATGTCCAAGACGGACCTCACGCCCTCCATCGCACCCCTCACGAGGCTCGGAGGGCATCAGAGGCTCCAAAACGGAGTGAAAAGCCAGTGGCACCTTCGGCCCAGGGGCACCTCTAGTACCCCCGACCTCTGCACGCTGCCAAAGCTTATGAATGCATCGTGCAGGAAGAAAGGGCAGGACAGGGAAAAGGGGAGGGGGTACAGTGGGTGCCCATGCCAAGAAACCCTGCTTGCCTCCAGGCTTGCCGCCAGGGTGCCTTGGGTTCCGATGGCTTTGCAACGGAAGGCGTGACGTTCCCAGACCAAACATCAATGGACGTCCTGGGGTCTCAGGGTTGGGTTTCTTGTGGTCGAGCACCTACTGTGGGGAACACGGGAGGGGGGACAAATCTGCTGCGTGCACCTGGCTTCTGCCCCGCCTCCTCGATTGTCTGGGCGCCTTCAGTCGCCAGGAGGCGCTGGGAAAGCCAGTGGCGTGAGCCGACTCTTCACCCTGCTGTTTGCTACAGTGGAGGCCAGTCCACAAGAAGCCTTCCACAAGAAACCCAACCCTGAGACCCCAGGACGTCCATTGATTCTTGGTGTGGGAACGTCACGCTTTCCATGGCAAAATCATCGAAACCCAAGAGACCCAAGGCTCCCTGGCGGCAAGCATGGTGTTTCTTGGCATGGACATTCACTGTTTCTTACCTCCCAGACCCCCGACGTCATGTTTTTTTTTTTGCAACGCCGACCCTCAGAGGTGTCGACCCATTCCCCCGGACTCGCTTTTCATGCTGGGTCGTTTTCTGACGGCCCCGTGGGCCTGCAAGGGCCCCCGAGGCCGAACATCTGGAAAAACTTCCCGTCATGATCTCTTCATGACTCGAAGGGCTCTGGGTGAAAGAGGAGGGTTGGGCATTATGGCGGAAGAGGTCCTGGCCCAGGGTGTCCCCAGCTTTTCGCGCCCTCGTTGGGCCCACCCCCCCGCCGCGGACCTCTGCGCCCCGCGATGGGGGAGGGGGGAGGGGGCTGCGGAGGCCATCTTTGGGCCTCCCCGGAGATCCTGCCCTTACGTTCCCCCTGAAAGCACGCCCACCCACCGCCCCGGTCGCCGAGGAGGTCGGCGGGCGGGCGGGCGGGAGGGAGGGAGGGAGGGGGGAAGAGGGGGGAAGAGGGGGGAAGAGGGGGGAAGAGGAGGAAGGGGGGAGGAGGGGAGGGAGGGGCAGAGGGAGGGCAGAGGGGGGACGAGGGGGAGGGGGGGAGGCAAGCTAGGTGCGCTCGCGTCATATCTGACATCCTACCCCTCCCTCCCATCCCCTAGCATGGCGCAGATCCCCTCTCTACTCGCACAGTCGGATGTCAAGCAAGGCGATGATCCCGAAAGGGTACGTGATGCATTGTAGAGCACGGCATGGCATGGCGTAGAAGAGCACCGCGAAGCGTAGTATCAACCTAGCATTGCGTTGCATGCCGTGGCATGGCACGGGAAATGACGCCAGCGCTGCAGCGGGAGCACGAGTCGAAACGAGCGGAAGCGCGGAAATGAGGCCAGCATTGCAGGGGGAGCACGATTCGGAACGAGCGGAAGCACGGAAATGAGGCCAGCGCTGCAGCGAGAGCACGATTCGGAACGAGCGGGGCCCGAAAATGAGGCCGGCGCCTCAGCGAGAGCAGCATTTTCTGAAAAATTGCAGGCGAAAGCCTAACTCCGGGGAAGGCTTCCCGGGCGCCAGGAGCAGAAATTCAGCATTCTCAAAAGAAAAAATTGTATTGGAATGGCCTTTTTTCGACGCCGCCTCGGAACTCGATTTTCCGGCGCCGGCCGGAACCGGCTCCGGACCCGGCCCGAGCGCCGGCCCGGGCGCCAGCTCGGGCGCGCAGCCTGGGCGCCGGCGGAAATGATGCCAGCGCTGCAGCGGGAGCACGATTCGGAACGAGCGGGCTCCGAAAATGAGGCCGGCGCTTCAGCGAGAGCAGCATTTTGGAAAAAAATGCAGGCGAAAACCCAACTCCAGGGAAACCTGTGTGTAAAAAAACCGTACGCGGGGGGGGGGGGGGAGCGAATATTCCCAAGACGTCCATCAGGGAAGAGGGAGAATTGTATTTCTGTTGAGTAATTGTGAATGGGGGGGGAGGGGAGGGCGGAGAGCACGCCCCCCCCCCTCCCGGTTCGCCGAGGAGGTCGGGGGCGCGGCCCCGGCGCCTGGGGGCGCCCAGAGGGCCCGAGACGGGGGCGAGGCGGCGCCCCGCTCCGCGCCCCCCCAGCCGCCACCCGGGGAGGGGGGGCGGGGCGACGAGGGGCGATGAGGGGCACGGGGCGGAGGAGAAGGAGGGAGGCGGGGGGGGGGGGGGGGGCGGGAGCGGAATATCTCCAAGAGGTCATCAGGGGAAGAGGGAGAATTGTATTTCTGTTGAGTAATTGTGAAGGGGGGAGGGGAGGGCGGGAGACCACGCCCCCCCCCCTCCCGGTTCGCCGAGGAGGTCGGGGGCGCGGCCCCGGCGCCTGGGGGCGCCCAGAGGGCCCGAGACGGGGGCGAGGCGGCGCCCCGCTCCGCGCCCCCCCAGCCGCCACCCGGGGAGGGGGGGCGGGGCGACGAGGGGCGATGAGGGGCACGGGGCGGAGGAGAAGGAGGGAGGCGGGAGGAGGGAGGAGGGAGGAGGGAGGAGGGGGGAGGGAAAGAGGGCAGGAGGGAGGAGGAGAGGAGGGAGGAGGGAGGGAGGGAGGGAGGAGGGAAGGAGGGAGGATGGGAGGAGAAGGAGGGAGAAGGGAGGAGGGAGGAGAGGGAGGAGGAGGAGGAGGAGGCAGGAGGAGGAGGAGGAGGAGGAGGAGGAGGAGGAAGAGGAGGAGGAGGAGGAAGGAGGAGGAGAAGAGGAGGAGGAGGAGGAGGAGGAGGGGAAGGAGGAGGAGGGTTGCTTCTTCACGTGGTGGGGCTGGGGGGGATGGAAGGGGGGCGAGAGAGGTTTCCACTGTAAGGGAGGGGGGCGAGACGGAAGATGCCTCAGCCCACCGTAGCACGGGCGCTTTTTCACGCGGTGGAGGGGGAGGGTGGAGGGGCGGGCGAGACAGAGGCTTCCATCAGGGGGGGAGGGGGGGCGAGACGGAGGACGCCTCAGCCCACCATGGTATGGACGTCTTTCTCACGCGGCGGAGGGGGGGGCGGGGGAGGGGCGGGGGCACGACAGAGGCTTCCACTGCGGGGGGAAGGGGGGCGAGGCGGAGGAGCCTCAGCCCTCCATCGTTTGGGCGTCTTTCTCACGTCGGGGATGGGGGAGGGGAAGGGGGCGAGACAGGCTTCCACTGTGTGTGTGTGTGGGGGGGGGGGGCGAGACGGAGGATGCCTCAGACCACCATATTGTGGACGTTGGTTCACGCGGTGGAGCTGGAAGGGCAGAACACCGTTCTTGGGACTTCAGCACCGCAAATCAATATTACTGTTGCGCCCGAACAACCCTGAATCGTTCCAAGATCGTTCCAAAACACATATTCTCCTCCTCCTCGTCCACCGTTCTCCTCTTCCCTGTGATATGTTGCGCGCGTAATGTTTGTAGGGTGTATGGTCATCCCACTGTTCCCTCTCATCCTCCCCCGACTATTTGTCCTGCTGCTCCCTTCTTCCCCCCATTACATCTCCCAACCTCTCCCTGCCCCCTTTCCGACCTTTTCCTACCTCATTACTCCTCTACCTCCCCCTTTCTTCCCCCCTCCTCATTCCTCCGGCTCCTCCCCTCCTGCCCTCCCCCGCCTCTCCTTCCTGCCTCCTTCCGCCTCCTCATTCGCCTCCTACTCCTCCGCATCCTCCTCCGCCTCCTCCACCTCCTCCTCCTCCTCCTCCTCCTCCTCCTCCTCCTCCTCCTCCTCCTCCTCCTCCTCCTCCTCCCTCCTCCCTCCTCCTCCTCCCTCCTCCCTCCTCCCCCTCCCTCCCTCCTCCCTCCTCCCTCCTCTCCCTCCCCTCCTCCCTCCTCCCTCCTCCTCCCTCCTCCCTCCTCCCTCCTCCCGCCTCCCTCCTCCCTCCTCCCTCCTCCCTTCTCCCTCCTCTCTCCTCCCTCGTCCCTTCCCTCCTCTCTCATCCCTCGTCCCTGCCCTCCTCCCTCGTCCCTGCCTCCCTCCCTCCTCCCTCCCCCCTCCTCCCAGCTCCGCGCCCCCCCGTGTCCTCCAGCGGCGACGTGGCGCGCCTCTCCCGCCGCCCGCTGCCCGAGTCCAAGCGGCCGCCGCCCCGTGCCTGCACGCGCGAGAGAGCACGCGCCAGGTGCGCGCGTGCCAGGCGCACTTTGACGACCCCCTCCGCGCAGGTGCTTCCCCCTCTCGCGTGTCCTCGGCCGTTCCCCCCTCGTCGTTCGTCCCTCCCTCGCTCGCTCCGCCTCGCCTCCCGCCCCCGCTCGTCGCGCGTCCCTCCCTCCCTGCGTGCGTCCTTCCCTCTCTGATATGTCTGAATCCATTCATCATGCAGCGCCTGCCGACGCGCCTTTGGGCCTACGGCTCCCCGCGCGGGTGCTCTCACGTGTGAGCGGCTGCGGTGAAAGCGGGGCCGTCTGCGCCGACGCTCGCGCCCGAGCTGCCCGCGCCGGGTCGCGCGCGGGCGCCCTCGTGCTCGGTGCGGTGCGCCGCGCTGCGGCCCGCGCGCCCTCGCGCGCAGGACCCGCTGCGCTTCCTCCGCCGGGGGGGGCCTCGGCTCCGAGGGTCGAAGGAGCCGCCGCCTCGCCCTCGGCGGAGGGCGGCGGAGGCAGAGCGAAGTCGGGCCCGTCCTTCTACAGGGGGGCTCTTCAGAAATTGTCGGGACGATGTTTTAAAATTATGTTTGGCAATTCTGGAGAGTTTCTGGGCTAGTTGTCCTTTGTCGTCCCAGATCCGCCTGTAGGGGGGCATGCCCGACCGAAAGCTAGAGCGTGAGGGCGGCTCCGCCAGCGGACGCGGGCAGAAACTCAGCCAGGAGCCCCGAGACGGACGTCAATGCAAGCGGGGGCTGGCCAGAGCGCCGGATCTTGCAGGATCCTGCAGAGCCAGGGGTGCATTGACCCGGGTTGGGGTGCAGGATCCTGCAGGATCTTGAAGGATGCTGCAAAGCTTGACTGACCCGCATCTGGATTGATCCGGGTCGATGGATCCCCGACTCGGCCGGAAGGCGGCGGGATTGAAAGATGCGCCCCAAAGAGATGCCAATTGTTTTGGATTCGAAGTTTCCGGTCGGCCATGTGACAAATCCGCCAGCCGCATGTTGGATACCGCCCCGGGAGCCCACACGCATGGAAAAGCACGCGTGCGGAATGCGTGCTGGATATCCCTCTCCCCGCATGTCTGTCTACGCGCGTGTGAGAAATCCGCCAGCCGCATGTTGCATACCCTCGCTGGTGGCGTCAACCTGACCGGACCAGAACGGGAAACGCCGCTTTGTCCACAAGGGTTGTCAGATAACGTCTGCTCGAGCACGCCAGAGAACCCAGTGCTGGCGCGCCGCGCACGCCAAAGAACTCCGCGCTGGTCTGCCGTGCTGGTCTGCCGCGCTGGACTTGCCTCCTCCCCATCCTTTTCCTCCTCCTCTCCTTCCTCCTCCTCCTCCTCCTCCTCGTCTTCCTCCTCCTCCTCCTCCTCCTCCTCCTCCTCCTCCTCCTTCCTTCCTTCCTTCTCCTCCTTCCCCTCTTCGACGTCATCTGCCGCTTTTGTTCCCCCCACTCCTCCTGCTGCCGTTGCTGCTGCTGCCGCACGAGCGCGTGCGGATGTTTCATGGGGGCGACGGGCGGGGGGGATGCACGGCGCCGCGCGTGCGGGGTGCGTTGCGGGGGCGACGGGCGGGCGGGGTGCGCGGCGCGCGTGCGGGACGCGTTATGGGGGCGACGGGCGGGGGGGATGCACGGCGCGCGCGCGCGATGAAGGAGGAAGAGAACGACGAGGAGGACGAGGAGGAGGATGAGGAGGAGGAGGAGGAAGAGGAGGAGGATGGGGAGGGGGAAGAGGAGAAGGAGGAGGATAAAGTAGGAGACGGAGGAGACGGAGGAGAGACGGAGGAGACCTCAGAGACGGAGGAGACCTCAGAGACGGAGGAGACGGAGACCTCAGAGACGGAAGAGACGGAGGGGACAGGACCTCGAGCTAAGATGTTGCGAGTACCGTTTCCCGAGGATGTTTTTAGCGAGAGCCTCATCTTTAAGGAAAGACGGCTAGTCGCACGGCTTCAACATCTCAATGTTTCGAGGATGTTTCAGGCGAAACGGCAATTTCCAACGGTTCGCTGAATTTAGTGAGTGAGTTCAGTAGCTCATTTCCCGAGGATGTTTCGGGCGAGAGTCTCATATTCCAATTTACAACGTCTTAACCACGTTGCTTTGAGGGGGATCTGCCAATCCGCCAACGAAACTACCCGTTGCACTGGGAGCCAGTTGTCCCTCGCGAGTTTGATTTGTATGTATACTTTATTCAGCACATGCTTGAAAACTCCCATGACCTCGTTCCGAGAAGGCGTTTCCCGTCACATGTGAATGCACGTGCCGAATGCAGCAGATGAGCCGTGCACATGGCATCCCCTTCCCCCCCACGCGCACGTATTCGCACGGGTGCAACATCCGTTTGCCGCGTGTGGCATACCCCCATTAGCGATGCTGCGCACGCGTGGAAGCACGTGCCAAATCCACGCGTGCTGGACGCTTGTTGGATACCCCTTGCGCGCACGGAGCTTCGCTCGTGAAGAATGAGAGCAAGCTGGCCCCATGTTGCGGGAGCTTGCGCACGTGAAAGCACGTGCCAAATGCACGCGTGCCGGACGCATGGTTGATATCCCCTTTCCGCGCACGTATTTCTACGTGTGAACCATTCGCAGGCCCAAAAAACCCGACCATTAAAAGAGAACCGTAGACAAGAATTTTTCAGGGGGGAGTGCAGAACCGCCGAAAGCATCTACCCTCGATCCTCATCGGCCCTCTTCGATCCCCGATCCCTCGATCCTCCTCCCCTGAACCTCCTCCCTTCCTCAAACTCCCCGATCCTCGATCCTCCTCGATCCTCCATCTCTCCTCTCCCCCTTCTCGATGTTCGACCCCCCCTGCCCTCCTCCCCTCCCCCGCGGTCCTCCTCGATCCTCGGTTCCATAAGTACACAATATGAATACTACTCTCTCTCCCCTGGGGAGATCCAGGAAATACTCGGCCCCCCGATTCCAGGGAGTTGGGCCCACGCTGGCTTTTTTCAAAATGCTGCTCTCGCTGAAGCGCTGGCCTCATTTTCAGGCTACCGCTCGTTCCGAATCGTGCTCTCGCTGCAGCGTTGGCGTCATCATTTCCAACGCCATGCCGCGGCATGGTTTTCGGTCCTTCCAAATATGCCCCAAAATCTACAAACGGCCCCCCCGAACAAAAACCAGGAGAAATGATTACACATTCGGTGTCGATCCGTTGATTTTTGGGGTCGCAGAAGCCCTGGCCCCCACTGGGGCGTCGCCACGCCATGCTTTGTCTGGCTACGCTTCCTCCGGATCGTGCTCCCGCTGCAGCGCTGGCCTCACTTCCTCGCTTCCGTTCGTTACGAATCCGGCTCCCGCGGCAGCGGTGGCGTCATGATTTCCAGCGCCGTGTCACGACA